GTATTTAGGTTTCAGGTTGCTTACTATAAGATGAACTTAAACCCAAAGTTGAGGCACTCAACTCCCATTATTTTCTGAGTTATTGAAGTTTACGTAACAAATTTAGTCGCTAACTAAAAATTCTCCTTGCGATGAACCAAAAGTTGTCGAGACTTGATTTTTGTTCTACAAGTTCTTTATTGATTTGCCTATCTCGTAGCAAGGCCGGATTTCCATAATTCCAACATGAAACAGGAATTTTTCTCAAAAAACACAAAAAAACACCAAAAAATAGCAAAATTTTACCAAGTTTCAGTAAAAAATTCACAACGCATTTTCCAAATAGAAATTACAGCTTATCTATGCATATATTGTGAAATCCGGCTTTGCTAGTCTGTTTGCATGTCCATTGGGCCTTAAAATAAAAAATCACACCTCCGTAAACTTTTTGGTTCATCGCAAGGAGAATTTTGAGTAAACGACTAAAATAACACTAAAACCCTCATAACTTTGGAACTAATGGGAGTTGGGAGTCGAGTCTGTGGCTGTAAAAGTTTTTCATAGTAAGCAACTAAATCACCAAAAACCAAAGCACTGCCACCTATACTTTAGAAGATAGTTTTTTCACCTTACAGTAACCTTAAACATATGTAAAGCACGAACTATTAAATTTGTCATAGGAAGAAAGTTAGTGAATTACGAAGTTTTTTCTTTGCAACCTTATGTATGCTCAAAATACTTTGTTAACCGAGCTACTTTTGTTTGTAAAGCCTGAACTAGTTTGTAAGTTTCGCAGAGTACAGCACCCAGTAAGGGAAGAATTAGATCGTGGATTACAAAGTATTTTCTTTCGAAGCTACACTGCAGGAAAATACCGCAAAAACAGTACACAAATTTCTGGCAAATTTTTAATCAGGTATTTGTTGTACTTTCAAAGTTCAACAATTGTTGTACAAAGTACAATGGAACCGGCATGACGAGTGCTGTGCAGTCCAGGCCTCGTTGTGGTTTGTATAATTGATCCAGGAAGCGGAAGAAGGGGATAACTCAATTTTGGCCATTTTTCAGGAGAAACAAAAAACTGTTTGCAGGGAAAACTAAAACAAAACAAATGAATGTTGCAAATGTTAGAAAAAAATCAAAAGTGTAAGGTCACTCCGTAGAGGATTTCTGCGACTTATCACTTTCCGTTAAAATGGAAAACAGAGTCAGCTCACCTTATATTTCCTAAACAAAGAGGAATTTGGAGACAAGTCAAGTGGAACAATAGTCTGCATAAAGTGTATGTTACTCTGGTGTATTTTTTGGACTTAGCTCTTTTTTCCAAATTGAAATTTAAAATTAAGGGGGGGTTAAGTTGAGTTGATTCTTTTTACACTAGATTCATAAGAACACAAGTTGAGTTATATCCTTTTGCCAATTTGTCAAACGGACTCATGTAGACTAAGGTTGAGTTATCTCCATTTTCCAATGAAATTTAGACTGTAAAAGGGGTTAAGTTGAGTTATACCCTTTTTCCATGTGGATTTTCTTCTAAACTGCTTGGAATTCAGTCAAATAATTTGGTGTGATGATGTAAACCATTCTAAGGGACCATAATAAAATAAAAATTCAATTTGGGGATAAGTCAAGTTATTCCCTTCTTCCGCTTCCTGGATCAATTCTCGTTGTACTTTCTACAATCCCTGTTGTACTTTTATTGTACAGTTTTTGTTGTACATTTGTTGCACTATTCACACTTTTTCTTGCAGTGTAATGTAAGCTCGAAATACTTTGTGAAAACAAACTACTTTTGTTTGTAAAGCCTAATATTATTTTTAAGGTTTTAGAGTGCATTTGACGAGTTTTCTGAATCGCCGCGTAGAGCTGACAGACTGCTCCCTTGCGAAGGGCCCGTGGCTGGAGGAAGACACCCGCTCACGCCGATGCCGTTTGCTCCTGATGGCATCATGCGCGCGTCCGGCCACCTTTGCGGCCCCGGGACTTGGGGTCTTGAACCACCCGACGTGCAGGAAGGGGCTGCGGTCTTGGTTCCAGTTTGTGCAAGTCCTAATAAACACCAAGTCTTTATGAGGAACACGATTAAAACCTTGTAAGGTTACGAAGTATGTTTTGAGCTTGATGCTGGAGCTGGTGGGTGCGGACCGGGGACCCACACGGTGATGCCCGCGCTGCTGGAGTGCTCGTCGCTGTGCTCCGAGTAGCTACGCACCATGAGCGACCCAGACGAGCTGACCACGGCGCTGGGCAGCCTGCCGCTTCTGCTCGCACAGTGGGCGAGAAGACCTGTGGAGGCGGCCAATACACCAGATGAGTTTTGAGCTGTATAAAACTGGACTCGAATCGAACGTGTGACTTCACCAATGGATTCCTCGTTCGGAGAGCAATCCATCAGTGACGCCACACGTTCCATTCAAGTCCCATTTAGCGACTCTGGAGCTCAAAACGCGTCTGGAGTTTTGGCCGCCTCCATCTGTCTTCTAGCCCACTGTGCCTTGGAGGCCCTGTCCGCCGACGTGCGCCTCGAGACGGAGGACGACGACGTGACCGCCATCTTGGGCCGCGTGGTGTAGGGCGTGAAATAATTCATGAAAATAAATGCATTTTTATCTTATATTTCAAGTTGTACATCCCCCTAAATTACAAAGGAATCTCGGCATTTTCAATCCAAGTCATTGGGAAAAGAAATTCCCTTGCACTCATTCTCAGCAAAATAAAATAGTCAAAAGATCTCTTCAAACGATCAGGAACGAAACTTCCGGCATAACAGATTCTCAGCTTCACGTTGTCGCTAATGGGTTATAAGATTATGTTAGCGAGGGCTGGTTGGCCCAGACTAGGGGCCGTCGATATTTGCGACTTTTCGATTTTGACAACGGAATAGCACTCAAAAGTTGCGTTTTTTAATGCTGATTTCAGATCTGTCCTCGGTTTTGCGATCAGACAAAGCTTTGATGACCCTACCGGCCGTTTTATGCAAAAAAGCGGTGTTTTTCATGTTTTTACTGTGTTAAGGCTCCCGGACAGCCTCCACGTCGTCGGCCAAGGTAGGTGACCGTTGAGTTGTCTTCAGTACCATAAAAGACAACACTCTGAGCCACGAGGGGTCGTGGGTCACCCCTCTAATGTGCCAAAGACTTGAAAAACTGAACTTTTTTGGTCGAAAATCACTCAATTTTTACCATTTTTTCACCGTTTATCGACTATTACGAGAGCCCACGGGCCCGAGGTCATAACTTACGCAGACCAAAAGGTGTCACTGGGTATAAGAAAGGTCACCCAGCCCCTGCCCGGGCCCGGGGAGGCGCTGGGGCAGCGAGAGAGGCGGTGTCGAATATGTTAAAAATGACCAAAATCAGCTGATCGGCCGCCTGGGACAGGCTGTGTAGGGGATGGGAGCGTGTCGCCGCGCCGGTCATGACGCTTCGCCCGCTGCCCGCCCAGCCGGCCTGCTAGCCAGCCGGCCTGCCAGCCCGTCGGCGCTGCGTAAGACTGCAAGAGGGACAGAGCGACGGGAGCTGCAGGGCGGGCAGGCTGAAAGCGTTTCCGAAGAATCCATCGCTGCCTCTGTCGCACCCCGGAGGCAGAGCGACGGAGTGCTGCTGGCGCGTGTTGAGTTTGAGTTGCCTAGGCACAGTGAGGCAAGGCGTCAGTGTCGGCGGTGACCGTTGCAAGCGTCGTGCCAGCCTGGCATGGTCGACATGAGCCCCGATGGCCTGAGCCCCGGCCGGCCAGAGCCCCGGCCGAGCCCGACTTCAGCGCCGACACGAGCACTGACTGAGCTACGATGGCCAGAGCCCCGAACTGAGCCCCGGCCGAGCCCGACTCGAGCTGCGATGTCCAAAACCCCGACCTGAGCCCTGACCTGGGCCTCATTTGATCCTCATTTGAGCCCCGCGCCTAAAAAGTTAAAATTTTCAATTTGAACCAAAATCTTCGAAGAACAATTCAAAAATGGAATTTTTTTCGGCGTGGGGCTCAGATGGGACTCAGGTCGAAGCTCAAACCAGGCTCGGTTCGGGGCTCTGGCCATCGTAGCTCAGTCAGAGCTCGTGTCGGCGCTCAAGTCGGGCTCGGCCGGGGCTCAGGCCATCGGGGCTCATGTCGACCATGCCAGGCTGGCACGACGCTTGCAACGGTCACCGCCGACACTGACGCCTTGCCTCACTGTGCCTAGGCAACTCAAACTCAACACGCGCCAGCAGCACTCCGTCGCTCTGCCTCCGGGGTGCGCCAGAGGCAGCGATGGATTCTTCGGAAACGCTTTCAGCCTGCCCGCCCTGCAACTCCCGTCGCTCTGTCCCTCTTGCAGTCTTACGCAGCGCCGACGGGCTGGCAGGCCGGCTGGCTGGCAGACCGGCTGGCTGGCAGGCCGGCTGGCTGGCAGGCCGGCTGGCTAGCAGGCCGGCTGGGCGGGCAGCGGGCGAAGCGTCATGACCGGCGCGGCGACACGCTCCCATCCCCTACACAGCCTGTCCCAGGCGGCCGATCAGCTGATTTTGGTCACTTTTAACATATTCGACACCGCCTCTCTCGCTGCCCCAGCCCCTCCCCGGGCCCGGGCAGGGGCTGGGTGACCTTTCTTATACCCAGTGACACCTTTTGGTCTGCGTGAGTTATGACCTCGGGCCCGTGGGCTCTCGTAATAGTCGATAAACGGTGAAAAAATGGTAAAAATTGAGTGATTTTCGACCAAAAAAGTTCAGTTTTTCAAGTCTTTGGCACATTAGAGGGGTGACCCACGACCCCTCGTGGCTCAGAGTGTCGTCTTTTATGGTACTGAAGACAACTCAACGGTCACCTACCTTGGCCGACGACGTGGAGGCTGTCCTGGAGCCTTAACACAGTAAAAACATGAAAAACACCGCTTTTTTGCATAAAACGGCCGGTAGGGTCATCAAAGCTTAGTCTGATCGCAAAACCAAGGACAGATCTGAAATCAGCATTAAAAAACGCAACTTTTGAGTGCTATTCCGTTGTCGAAATCGAAAAGTCGCAAATGTCGACGGCCCCTAGCCCAGACCCTCTTAGAACCTGCTTCACTACGAACTTCCGTACAAGGATTGATTCGACCCTAAACATGCTCCAGAAGAAGTCTCCGTGAATGAACTTTTTTAAATAACAAACTGTGCACTCGACATTCTTCTCTTCTGCTCACTTAGAACCCTACAAAGAACCACTCATTGCAATACAAAGAAAACGAAGGCTGCGCAGCCTGCGAAAGAAATCGTTTGTAATACAAACAATTTTGTTTGTAATATGAAGAAAAAAATCCTTCGCAGGCTGCGAAGAAGTTCTTCGTAGGCTACAAAGGAGTTTTAATCTGTATTACGAACAAAATCGTTTGTATTACAAACGATTTCCTTCGTAGGCTGCGAAGCCTTCGTTGTCTTTGTATTACAACGATCAGTTCTTTGTAGAAATTTATCTGTGTGTATGGGTTTGATGAAGAGTTATGATATGGCCACCTTCGCGAAAACACTTGTTGCTAACTGTATTCAAAAGGTTCTGCAGTACCCGAAGTATGTATCCGAAGTATCCGAAGATGTATCTTTAACCCAGATGCTTGACTGAACGTCTTGGTACAAACATTACATTCAAAAGGTTGCAATATGTATTTGGAGATGAGTTTTCAAGTTACAACCCAGGCTAAACATTTTCCCGCAAACTGTGCACTTGAAGGGTTTCTCCCCTGTATGAGTTCGGATATGATATCTCAACGGCCATCGACGGCTGAACTTCTTTTTGCAAACTGTGCACTCGAAAGGCTTAAGCCCTGTATGGGTTTTAACATGATACTTCAAGGAAGCCTCATGGATGAACTTCTCACAGCAAACTGTGCACTCGAAAGGCTTAAGCCCTGTGTGGGTTTTAACATGATACTTCAAGGAAGCCTCATGGGTGAACTTCTTACAGCAAACTGTGCACTCGAAAGGCTTCTCTCCGGTATGGGTTCTATGATGGATTTTCAAGTAATCTTGTCGTCGAAACTTCTTGTTGCAAACAGGGCATTCGAATGTCTTCTCCCCTGTATGAGTTTGTAGATGAGTTTTCAAGACAGATCCTTGGCTGAACTTCTTGTTGCAAACTAGGCATTCGAAAGGCTTCTCCCCTGTATGAGTTCGGACGTGCGCTTTCAAGTGAGATAATTGGCCAAACTTCTTATTGCTAACTAGACATTCGAAAGGCTTCTGCCCTGTATGAGTTCGGAGATGAATTTTCAAGTGAGACCTTTGTGTGAACTTCTTGTGGCAAACTGGGCATTCGAAAGGCTTCTCTCCGGTATGGGTTCTATGATGGATTTTCAAGTAATCTTGTCGTCGAAACTTCTTGTTGCAAACAGGGCATTCGAATGTCTTCTCCCCTGTGTGAGTTCGGAGATGAGTTTTCAAGGAAGATCCTTGGCTAAACTTCTCGTGACATATTGTGCACGCGAAAGGCTTCTCCCCTGTATGGATTCTATGATGAGTTTTCAAGGCAGACTTCCGGCAGAACTTCTTTTTGCAAACTGTGCACTCCAAAGGCATATCCCCTGAATAACTGCGGACATGCACGTTCCTCTTGGCAGAGGACGGGAAAACAGATTCCCTCACTGTAAAAAATTTGTTCGTAAATTTACAAACAATTTATGGGTAATTTCGTTGCACAAATTATCTGTAAATTTTTTTGTGTATCAACGATTTATGAATTATTCTTCACGCAGTAGTTTGTAAAATCACAAACATTTTACACGATCCAAATTACGTGGACCGCTTTTGTTCTTCCTTGTCACGTTGATTGAATGGAGATAAAGTTATTTCAGAGTTTTTGGATTGTTTTATGAAACATCTTGTAAAACGATGGAGGCATCACCATATCTCGTAATTTTACAAGCGATTTGTGCAACGGAATTACCCAGGCATTTGTTGTAATTCTAGGAAATTTTTCATATTTTTGTGATCTTGCTGTAGTATTAAAGTCACGTTTGAAATGTATTTCGTTCGTACCATCTCGTAAGGCGGTGTTCACAAACAAATTTCATAAAATTAAGAAGATTTCTGTGATGAATAATTCATAAAAAGGCCTCTACAAATAAATTTCATAAAATAACGAAATGTTATTGTTACTTTACTGGGAATTTGTTAAAAAGATTTTCGTAAATTCACAATAATTTTTTACAGTGCTCGTTGCACATGTGTCGGCCATGGTGTCGATTTAGACGTGACCTGAAACACGTAAAACGTTGCTTGATTCGGGCAGTTCAGTCATGTGACTAGGAGACTGTCCCGTCACTCCCAATCCAGGAACGTGACCTCACGTTGAAACGAATATAACAAGACGTCACGTTCCCTTGGACACGGTGTCACATTCGTTTGAATTTACATTGGATTTACTTTCAAACAAATGTGAAACAAACAATCATCAAAAGAAAGGAACGTTTCATTTCGTCACATTTGTATCAGCGTGACGTCACGTTTCTGGAATGAGAGAGGTGTACAAGATCTTCTTCATAGTTCGACGCGACGGAGTTTTGGCCAGTTGCATCTCAAACTGCAAGGACCGCCCCGCAAAATCTACGGGCCAATAAAGCGATTCCACGCTGGACAGAGGTCGGGTGACTTGAACTGAGGCGTCCACACCTCCACATGAGTGACGCAAAGTGGACCGAAATCCAGGATTGTGTCCCGGATATTAACATGGATTCAGTGGCCAAAAGGACTTTTCAGCCCTTCAAGGGCAAGAAGCACACTCTGTCTTTTACTATTTCTCATTAGCAGACGCATTGCTGTAAGCAACCATAATACTTAATATTTCGTTCTTACTTAAGAATTTCTTAGTAATCAACTTAGAAAGCGGTAATATCAGTACATAGTGATAACAAATTGCTAAGTAATACTGACAAAAAGTAACGTATTAAGGTTACTTACAGAAATGCGTCTGCTAATGAGAAATAGTCAGTAAAAGGCTGAAAGTGCAGGAACTCAACAATGAGCCCGGTTGTGGACCTAAACAAGTTCGGTTTTCGAACCGGCAAAGGTAAATTAAACGGGCCGCCAGAACTTTTAATCGTTTTAATCGTTACACTGGTAAAACAAAGGCATAAAAATTACGCCCTTTAGGGCATAAATGCTCTTTTACGCCCTTGCAAGGGCATAAATCGTTTTATGCCCTTGGGAAGGGCGTAAATGGTATGGGAATTTCAAGCAAAATTTTAATGCCCTTCCCAAAGGCATTAACGATTTATGCCCTTTAAGGGCGTAAATCGTTTACGCCCTTTAAGGGCATAATTTTTATGCCTTTGTTTCACCAGTGTAAACGTAAAGTTTCCGACCTTTCATCCTCCTTCAAAATAGTACCGTGCTACAGTATAAATCCCGAGGGAAAGGAGCACACTGCTTACCTTCAAGATAAATGAGTCGACCGCCGGTGGGAGACCAACAGGCGGGAACCGAGAGAAGTACGCAGAGCCGAGTGGAATGGAACGGGCAGCTGGTTGCAGTGCTGAAAGGCAAGTAAAGACCAGGTTACAATTGAGCGCCGATGAACTACGGTTACGCAATAGACCCGTGCTAGTTAGGTTATCCGTTCAAACTTCCGTCAACAACATTGAACCTGAAGGAATAAATGAATATAAATGAATAGAGGAATAAATGAATATAAATGAATAGAGGAGACAAAAATCCAACGGCCGGAAGAAGGCAAAGTGGAAGAAAAGTAAGCCAACAATTTTGGTCGAACCAATTGTTGGTTCGGAAGTATGAATATCCAAAAGAAGAAGTGGCGACACAAATCGACGAACTTTAGCTTGAAACGTTCCGTGAATCATACAAAACCGAGGGGTCGGCAACTTCCCTTGGCCGTGTACGAGGGAGCATAAGTATATTACCAGTAATATAGGTAATATAAAGTAATACAAAGTAATATATAGTAATATAGGGGTATTATAGAGGCGAAATTGTGGTAATATGCAAGTAATATATGGTAATATACAGGTAATATGCGGGTAATATAGCCACCGCGTACGAAGTAATATATGAGTTGCCGACCCCTCGTACAAAACTATTAAATATTGTTCAATCAACCCCACCTGAAATCGAACCTGTGTCGGGATCCATTAAATGGACGTCCCTTTCATAATAGGCAGCCTCAAAATCAAATAAAACACGTGGAAGTAAAAAAAGAACTACGTGGGTAAAAATTTGACTCTTGCGGAATCATGTTAGTTTGGAGCTAAAATAATTGTCTACGTTGATCTTTTAACCCACTGAGTACACACGTAAATTTTCAATGTTCTTCTGCCGAACTACGATAGGTTCGTCAAAGAAAATTTGGACATCCGTGCTAAATCTTTTTTGTCAGTTAAGGCGTCCATTGCAATGCGCCATGCTCAACGCCTCACTAAGTATTTTGAGTACATGAGAGCTACAAATAATTTAGATTTTAATACGTAGTATCTTCTTTGCAAGGCCTAGAATGGTGTGAGGGGTTTTCAGAGTTTAACATAGGTTTACAGTACGTAATAGGTTACGTCTTGGCGTAATCACGCTTTGGTTAGCTTCAGGCTTAACATGCTTCTCGGAGAGTTTCGGTACACTACCACATTCACTAAATCCAAAAAGTTACGCAGGACGCTACGGTGATAATTCACATTCACTCCTCAAGGAGTGCAATCGGAACGCATCCAGGTTAGCAGACAATCCTGACGACGAAATGCTACAAGGCTTTCAAGCACTTCACTGAAATACTGTTCAGAACAGAAACACTAATATACAGAAACGGCGGTGTTCCTGATTCACTACAAGCGGATAGTGAGACAGGCAAACGAAGTGCGAGCTCGTGCAAAACAACACTGAAAACTTAAGTGAATTCTGAGAACACACAGAGAGAACATCAGTGTGAGCAGAACTTAACATTTCAGTGGAATCGTAACATACAGACAGACTGCAACGCAGGTAAGGAGGTATAGGGTACTTTCGTGGATCCTGCACCGGAAGCAAGCAGACCAGCAGACGCCAAATTGGCCGGAAACTAACCTCCCTTCGGATCTAAAACTATGGCCGAGCTGTACAAATATTGCTCGCGAAACACATATGCACTGCAAGCAAGTATCAAACGACTGTTTATGTTCAAGTGTGGCCGATACGTTTGACTAACGTCTCTTTCTCATGTCAAGTTTGGATCTACTTCCGCCAACATGGCGTCGTGTGCTTCCGGTTCAGGGATCTGTGCCCGTGAAATTGAAACGTTAAAACCGTAGAACGTCACTTCCTCCAAAATTGACAAGCCGTTTGGTATGCCAAAGTTTGGTGAGCTTTGACCTGAAATCATATACCTGCTAATATTCTGCGTACCCGCACGCACTGCCAAAGTTTGGCAAGCTGGAGAGAGCTAATATGTGCCATGCTTGCAAATAGTTGGCACTAGAAACGGCTTTCAAATTTACTTTTAAGTGGTCGTACCTGCGTTACCTACGGCCCACTAACTGTTGTTTTAAGTATGATGATGAACACATTTCAAATGCAATACATTTTCTATTGCATTGTGAGCGCAATGCGTCAAGTGCCACTAATATGTTACTGCGTTAACGTTTTTTATCACTTTACCACACTAATATGTGATAATCTGGGCCCAAAGCACAGAAAAACTTTTTGCATATTTAACGCGATAAGATTTCATTGTTGCCACAGATGCGATAATTTGAACGAATCACATTAGCCTTTTCATCACGGCTAGTACGGAGCTGGAGCTTGTCACCTCAGACATGTCAGTGCTTCCAAGGAGCTCCGGCTTGGACAAAAGCCCCAAAAAACAGCCTTTGCGCATGCGCAGACGTTCCCCACCACCCGGTGCGCATGCGCAGAAGCTAGTTTCAGGTCTTGCTGTTGTTCTTCTCCTTCCGTATGAAGATTCAACTGAGTACCCTTTCGATCGCCTCCTCTCTCCTCCGCCTAGAAGTACTACTCAACACACTGACACGACGCTTGCGCGTCAGGCTCACCTGTGCGTGCTGCTGTCGGTGTAGGAGTGCTCTGTTGATTCGTCGCCTCCTTGGTCGCCGTCTCTTCGGGGTGAGTGGCACAACGACTTTCCTTGGGCTACCGTGACCAAATTCACGGTAAAGTTTTATGACTATTTTGTGATAGGCAGGGCAGTGGCCGCTATGCGTCTTCTTTCCCTTGTAGAATGCACTCTTGCTTTCGTTCTCAAAGCGTCAGGTCGTGAAGTTCAAGACTTCAGATGTTACAAAGTGCCCCGTCTATATCTATTCGTTTCGGGTCAGTCAAGCAGCATTTCAGCTGCGGCGTAGGTACAGTAGTTTCTAACAAGTGTCGTGATACCATTTGCCCGCGAGAACCATCGCCGTAACGTCGGTTGATTGAGTAGTCCTCCGGACTGACACAGTTGCTCTGTGAATTACGTTGGTGGTTGAGCATTAGAATTTGCGTGTAGAGGGTGAAGGGGTAAGGGGATGTCTATTAACAGGGTACTCCAATGAATGTTGATACGAAGTTCCGCAAATGCGCATGCGCAGAAGCTGTTTTCAGGGCTTACTTTTGTTCTTCTTTTTCCGTTTCATGATTAATTGGAGTATCCTATTACGTTATGCACTGTAAGGATACGGGGTATGAGATCTGTGGCTGTATCGCTTTATTGTTTGTAAGTCATAGAAGGCGAGAATTTTTAAAATACGCCGATGGAGGAACTGCTCATATCGGTGTACCTACTCGTTGGAAAAAAAAGGCTTCCGGTGTCGTTCTCTCTGTTTTGCTCATTTATGTGTTGTAAAGGGACTTGCATTTTCTTGAGAAAGACCGCTGAAGGAATTGTTTCGAGTGTACCTTGTTCATTGTTAGAGAAGCTGTCTTGTTCTGTAAGTTTCATACAAGCTCTATCAGAGGGGGCGAGACTTTGTGGAATAGACCGATGTAAACACTATTAATAAAGGGACCGTCTTTTAATGACGTTACGCAGTTGTGGACTGGGCTTGGCTCGGATCCCTCGTCCCGTAAGCATTACAGCGTAACGCAGACCAGTCACACTGTCAGAAAAAAGTACGGAAAAAGTACGGAACATGTCTGGTCAATAATTTGCCTGGACCGCCCGTACTTGCAAATTACGGAACGTACCGTACTTTTTGTCCGTACCCATCTACATGGGTACATATGGAGGAAGTACGGAACATTCCGTACTTTTCTCCGTACCTCCGTACTAAATTTTTCCACGTACCATTTCCGTATTAAAGTACGGAATTTTTTACAGTGCACCCCCGTCCCTTCTCATTGCGTAACATGATCAATGAGCATCCCCTCGCTCCTTGAAAGAGCTTCCTGATCGCTTCAAAGCGGGCGAGAGTTCTTGAATCAGACCAAGAAAGGATCTGCTTTCCTCTCTGCTCAACACTTGCTGTTCCTCGCGCTTTTTCCGCTCTTCTTGCCGCCTTGTCTGCGAAATCTACAACTTGTTTTCTGCTACCCGATCGCAGTTCAAGCTCCCAGAACGACAGCCATGGAGACCCTGCCAGACTCCCTGGTCGTGCGGATCCTCTCCAAGGTCGGCGACGGCCTGATGCTCCTCGATGTGCTGCCCTTGGTGTGCCGAAGGTGGCAACAGCTCTGCCGCGACCCTGAAGCGTGGGCCGAGGTGGACGTTGTGTGGACCGGCAAGGAAGAGGGCGGTAAGAAAGCCACATGTATCCGACTATCGTTGGGGGCGTTTGCAAAGGGGCGACATCCGTGGCTTGTTCCACAAGTCTTGGAGCTAACGAAACACTGGTGGAACTGAAGCGTAGCAGTTGCTACGCTCGCACGATTAATACCTATCGAAGAATTTTGAGCATACATACTTCAAACTAATGTGCCTTGTTACACGAAGAAATAGTTCGTTCATTCCGAAGTATTTTCTTTGTATTAGTAAGCTTAAGTATGCTCTGGTTCAATACGGCATTGAAATTATTTTCGCTAAATGAATCGTCAGTGATTCCCGTATGCTCCTCCTAGGTCTCTGGGAAGGATCACCGAGTTTGTGTGTTTGTTGTCCATGTCTCTTGAACTTATTTTCGTCTTGCTTCAGGTTCCGTGGGTTCCGAGGGCTCAGCGGACTCCGCGGCGAAACTGTCCGACGTGGACGTGATGCGGTTGCTGCTGCGCGCCCCTGCCGTCCGCGAACTCTGCATCGACTGGTCGTACGAGGGTCGGCAGGAGAAAGTCCTGTCCGCCCTCCGCCGCGGCAGGGTGGTCGCCCGGGACACGTTCCAGGTTCGTGGAAAGTGAATGTACACACTAAATGATTTTGTACAAATTTTGCACGAGACATCACAGTTTTTTTTGTGCACATTAACTTTTCGTACAAATGCGTACAAAATTTTGTACAATTTTGTACGAAAATGGCGAAAAATGTGCAGTTTTTCGTACGAAAATTGTACGAAAATTTCGTCTGCACTAATAACTGTAATGTCTCGTACAAAACTGTACATAACATTTAGTGTGTGCTGACGGCATTTAGAAAATTTAGTTCCATGTCCGCGAGTAATTAATCAGTTCGGAGCTCTCACTGTTCGGGATTATTTTGTGAAATTACGATTAATTGTCTGTTAAATTTGTACCACGAACTGCTCGTAAATTTAAAAAACGATCTGATCATCCACCTTTTTTTTGTCAATTTACAAAAATATTCTTAAATTTACTAACTTAATCCTCAAATTTTGGTCGTTTCAGGCATTTTTTTCTTCCTATATAGTAAGGAAACAACGGACGAAAACGCACTTTTTCAGACTTGCTTTTACAATCATACTTGTAAATTTACGATTTCACCTGTAAATTTAAGAAGCAGTTTGTAAAATGATGAACAGATTGTCAATTTACAATTTTCTTTGTAAAAAAACAGTGCAGTTCGTGGTACAAATTTAACAGGCAACTATTCTTAAAAATAAAGCTTCATTTGTAAGAAAACAAGTTTACGCGTTATAAAACGAGAATAGTCGTAAGATAACGATTTTATCAGTAAAACTACGATCTTTCGTCAGTAACAATAAGATTTCATCGTAAAATTACGAATTTATTCCTAAATTTATGAGTAAAGTTTGTCGAAAATATTACAATTGTTCATGTCATGAAACTTGTAGTTAATTTACGAATTATTATTTGTAAAATTACAACACTAATTGTTGGGATTACTGTTGTAAAATAACGACTTCTCTTAACAGTGCTTGTGACTTCAATGGTAACCTATTACACTGTTAAAAAAATTCCGTACTTTTGTACGGAAATGGAGCAGAAAAATATAGTACGGAGGTACCGAGGAAAGTACGGAACGTCCGCACTTGCTCCATGTGAACTCATGTAAGCCGGTACGGGAAAAAAGTACGGAAGTTCCGTAGTTGGCAAGTACTCACACACTGTTAAGAGAAGTCGTTATTTTACAACAGCAATCCCAACAAATAGTGTTGTAATTTTACAAATAATAATTCGTAAAATAACTACAAGATTCATGACATGACAAATTTTCATATTTTCGACAAACTTTACTCATAAATTTAGGAATAAATTCGTAATTTTACGATGAAATCTTAATGTTACTGAAGAAAGATCGTAGTTTTACTGATAAAATCGTTATTTTACGACTATTCTCGTTTAATAACGCGTAAACTTGTTTTCTTACAAATCAAGCTTTATTTTTAAGAATAGTTGCCTGTTTAATCTGTTCCACGAACTGCACTGTTTTTTTTACATAGTAAATTGTAAATTGACAATCTGTTCATCATTTTACAAACTGCTTCATAAATTTATAGGTGAAATCGTTAATTTACAAGTATTATTGTAAAAGTAAGTCTGAAAAAGTGCGTTTTCGTCCGTTGTTTCCTTACTATTTAGGAAGAAAAAATGCCTGAAACGACCAAAATTTGAGGATTAAGTTTGTAAGTTTAAGAATATTTTTGTAAATTGACGAAAAAAAGATTGATGATCAGATCGTTTTTGAAATTTACGAGCAGTTCGTGGTACAGATTTAACAGACAATTAATCGTAATTTCACAAAATAATCCCGAACAGTGCAGTGTAACGAGCTCTAACGCACTTCGAAGTGAGTGTGTAGGTGAACGTGTGTAGGTGTTTGTGTGTGTTTCCAGGTTCAAGACACTAGTAAAACAATGGAATAAAAACTACCCCTGTATTCTTCGCCCTTCGACAGCGTGAATCGTTTAACGCCTTTCGAAAGGGCATGAATTGGTACAGGTCTTTTTTCAGTCAGAATTTTAATGCCCTACCGAAGGCATTGAACGTTTCGCGCCGTTCCGGAGGTGAGGGGGATGCCTTGGTTTCATCTTTACTTTATTTTTGTGACGGCAAAAGCCGGCTACGAATGAACAGTATTCTTTGAGGGCTGCGTGACAGTCGACGGGATTCACCGTATTTCTTTTTCTCACAGTGTGCCTTTCCCCTTTTGGTGTCCGCAGGTGGACAAGAAAGTGTGGATGGACGCATGCCACGCGAACCGCGTCGCCCTGCTGGACACGCTGTGGCGTAGCCGCGGCTGCGTCAGGATGGCCTCCGTGTCGCTGTACTTGGAGGAGGAGCTGGATGACGTGGACTCGGACTCCGAGGAGGAGGAGGTGGTCACCAGCGCCCCGGAGCCCACCTTCACCGGGCCGCTCGTGGACAGCCAGGGCCACACCGCGCTGCAAGTGCTGGCCAGCCTGCAGCGGCTGGGCTGCCTGGACCTGGACGCGTCCAGGTAGGCGTCTGGCGCGGTTTAAGGAGTCCCCAACAGGAGGCGGGCGATTGTGTATATTTTGCCTACCTATAGGGGCATGTGATGATGGTTGCCTACACTGATGAAACAAAGGCATTAAAATTGTGCCCTTTAAGGGCGTAAAGGGTATAAATCGTTAATGCCTTTGGGAAGGGCATTAAAATTTTGATTGAAATTCCTGTAGTATTTGCGCCCTTTCGAAGGGCATAAAACGATTTATGCCCTTGGAAGGGCGTAATTTTGATGCCTTTGTTTTTCCAGTGTACTGTCAGAGGCGTTTATGGAATCTGACAGGCCTCCCCCTGACACCGCGCCTGGTAGGCGTGGGCGATTTACCGAAAATGACTGCTATAGTTGTTCCAATCAAACGGTTAGCTTAACGGCTTGACCGATTTTTCACCCATGAACTTTTGTCGATTAATCGTCTTTGTTGACGATAACTACATTCTATGAACCACCCCTATCGACGTTAGTTCATTTGCATGGTGACCATCCAAAACTATTCGTCATTTTTTAACCACAAAGCCGCAGTAAATGTTTTTGTTCCGTTTTGTTGCCACTAAGCATGAGTAAGTTTCACACGATTCGCAGCTCACAAAATTTCTCGCTTAAAGTTTATCCATAGTCGGTTACTGGTCTTTTCATTGATGATCTACTTTTTACGATCAATGACCCTTATGTCTTCAAACAAATTGTCTTTAAACTAATTTTAACCGCAGTGTAACTTTTCAAAACTTCTCATAACTTCATAATTTTTTTGTTACTCTCAATGTATCTGTTTAGTTGCTTACGCGTTCTCACAAATCGTAGCCTCTTAAAATTTTTCTTTCAGTGTTACATGTTTCTTGGCACGGTATTGTGCGGTGCCTCCTCCTGATTTGTACCGAAACCTCGCGATGCTGAAGAGTGCACACTGGTAAAACTAAAGTGCAACTCTATGCTCGAGTCAATCATAAAGTTAAGCTTGAAGACGTCACGCTTGAAATCAAGCGTAGACTAGAAATTCTCCCATGCATTTAGAAAGAGGGAATCTTAGCAGATGAGCCCGTTACGCTTGATTTGGAGCGTAACCAGATTACGCTTGAAAACAGAGGGTAATGCTCTGCTTTAGTTGTACCAGTGCACTCTCGCCTGGCGTTGACAGTGTGCTTTCTGCGCTTCCAGCACCTATCCCTACGCTGGCGAGCTCAAGGCCGGACTGCCGAATCTGCGCTTCCTCCTCATGAACGAGGGCGACCTCTTGGATGGGGTGCTTCCCGAGCAACTGGCGCTGGACTTGATTCGCGGGGCGCCGCGCCTGCGCATGCTGAGTTTTGGCAGGTACCGTAACGTCTTTTGGCGCCCCACAGTGGGTCAGACGACCGCTGGAGGCGGCCAAAATTCTAGACGCGTTTGGAGCTCTAACCGATCGTGTGACCCCACCAACGGATTCCTCGTCCGGAGAGCAATCCATTGGTTCGGTCTCACGTTCGCTTCGAGTCCCATTTAGCAACTCTGGAGCTAAAAACGCGTCTTCAATTTCGGCCGCGCCTCCACCGGTCGTCTGGCCCACTGTGCGCTCTCTCGCACTCACTGGCAGTCCATAAGGAGCAATAAGGACAGAGCCAAGGAAAACGTTACACACTAAGTAGATGACCTCTGATCTGAACCATCTTGACGTGTCCTGGAAAGGTTTCTCACCCAATTATTGGATAATAACGGTTGTATCATCTGCCTATATGTCCAGATAGCATACTCAACGAAATTTGGGCGATGAGATGATTCTCACTTTGAGAAAACCTTCCAAGGTAAAGCAGTTTGCTATAACGAAGTGTATTGAGCATAAATAAGCTTACATAGAAAGTACTTTGTAATTTAGGAAGTATTTCTTCGCCTAACAAAGTGAATTGGGCTGATGCTCAAAATACTTCGCAAGGTTTTAGGCGTGCACCCAAAGTTGGGCGCTAAAGAATACCTCACCCAAAATGAAGTCTTGATTATGTCTCTTTCGTTCTCATTGTGCGGGCGTGACACTTCGGTGCGTTACCCTCACCTTACGCTGGACTGAAGCTACAGTGTGCAGGGACTGCCGTTTGTAAAGTGTGCTCGTGTTTCTGCAGCGACTACGGCCGGCCGGCTGAGCCGATGCTGGAGCTGGTGGGCGCGGACCGGGACTACAGCCACGCGGTGACGCCGGCGCTGCTGGAGAGCGTGTCGCTGTGCTCGGAGCTGCGCTTCCTGAGCGGCCCGGACGAGCTGGCCGCCGTGGTGGGCGGCCTGCCGCTCCTGGAGGTCCTGTCCATCGGCGTGCACCCCAAGACCGAGGACGACGACGCGGCCGCCATCGTGGGCCGCGTGCTGGCGCGGTGCGCGGCGGCCCCCGCGCCCCTCAAGACCGTGAGCGTCTACGTGCTGGACGTGTTCGTCGACGCGCACGAGGACGACGAGCTGCTGCAGCGTCAGAAGGCGGAGTGCGAACGCCACGTGAAGCTCTTCAAGACTGCCAAGCCGGAAGCCGCTGTGGAGCTGCTTTGGGACTGAGTTTCGGAGCTGCACTGGAACTGAGTTCCGGTGTGGGCGCGTTTTTTCTCCGCACTTTCTGTAATTTGTTCGTTTCTGTTTTAAAGGTTACATGTTATTAAGAATCCACTCAGTGAAACGAAGTCGAGTTATTTTAAATCCATTGTGTAAAATGAAGTCGAGTTATTTGAAAATCTACTCCGTGCAATGAAGTCGAGTTATTAAAAATCCGCTTAGGGAAATGGTCGAGTCCTTTCCTTTCTAGTAATCTGGATTTGTCTCCCCTGTAAAGATTATCTCATGTTATTGAATCATTTGTCTGACTCCCTTTCCTTGTTTGTATATAATCTGTTCGGTTCGCCTCAAGAGTTTGCCCGTTGTAACTGGAAAACCATTTAATAAATTGATGTAGATCCCTTTGATCGACTATTTTGTTAATTCCCCTACTAGTGAGGAGGTTAGGCGCCAGATGAAATATCCAAACATACTCGAAGCGATTCTTTATGCAGGAATGGGTAGATTTTGACCTCCTCTTTCACATGAGTCGAGGGGTCAGACGGGAAAATCACGGGAACACCCAAAAAAAAAAGCGGGTTACAAAACTGCACAGGGCACTGCCACATTTTCGATTAAAATACCTTTTAAATCGAAAACTATTTGATGCAGCGTCTTGGCGAAAGCTGCGAAGCCTTAAGGGGAGGTTCTGGTGAAAATGCTATTTTCTCCTAAATAGGTCCCACTGTGAAAATTTGTTAAAAATTTGATGTCTTATCAAGTATTTATTAAAATTTTTCATTGGGGAGGCACATTCTATGCCCTGAACCCAGTCGTAGAGCCTTTTTCTCCCATTTAGGCTATAACTTTAAAAAGCTTCTTGCGCATACTATTTTGTCGTAAAAGGTTGGCTTAGACATTTTTCACTTCTTTGATTCATTTTTAAAAAATGCCGGCATGCACATCTCAAAATGTCAATGGCATTTTTATTCGCAAGCTTTCTTACCAAGCATTTCACTGCAATTGATCAAAAATGTACAAAATAGACAAATTTAAGGGACTTTTCAGCTTAAAAAGCTAGTAATTAATAATATAATGGAAGTTTTGAGCTATGCATGCCGGAAACTTTAGAAAATGAATCGAAGAAGTGAAAAATGTCAAGGTCAACCTTTTACGACTAAATAGTATGCGCAAGGAGATTTTTTAAGATACAGCCAAAATAGGCTCAAAAAGACTCTTCGACTGGGTTTACAGCCTGGCATGTGCCTTCAAAAGTCAAATTTCAGTCTCCTCAATGAAAAATTTTATATTCCGAACAAATTATGACTGTGGGATCCATTTGGAAAATGGCAAGATTTTCACCAGAACTTCCCCTTAACAAAACATAGGAGATTGAACCCTGTTAGTTTCACCACTCCGTTTTACAATTTGTGACTACGGAGACGATATATTAAATGAACATCACGGTTTAAAACCAGAAAATTTGATTTACTCGAAATTTTTCAAGTCGAATGTATGGGTTGATTGGCACCAATGGATGCGCGTTTTTATTGGCGTTAACATCAGCGTTAAAAATTTGGGGGTCGTCGCTTTGGATTTTGAACGGCAGCGCTTTGAACGCCGCCAGGCGGGAAGCGCGCGGCGCCCGGCGGCCCGTACAGCGAGTTGCCTACCCGGTGACCCCGTAAGGCGCCATGTTAACTTCATCCCTTCATAACTTTTGTCCTGTGCGATAAAAAATATCGTCATTGGGTTAAGAGCCTTTCTTTTGGGCTCAACTACGCGTGTACGGAGTCGAATCGCATTCGGAAGACATGACGTACGGAACATGCTGGCCGAGCGACCTCTGGGTCCGGTTTTAAGTGAAATCAATTCGCACTTTACGATTTTCCACACGGTACACGCATAGTTGAGCCCAAAATAAAGTCTCTTGACCCGATGAGGCATTTTTTTATCCCTCGGGAAAAAAGTTCTGAAGGGATGAAGTTAACATGGCGCCTTACGGGGGCACCGGGTAGGCAACTCGCTGTACGGGCCGCCGGGCGCCGCGCGCTTCCCGCCTGGCGGCGTTCAAAGCGCTTCCGTTCAAAATCCAAACCGACGACCCCCAAATTTTTAACGGTGATGTTAACGCCAATGAAAGCGCGCATCCATTGGTGCCAATCAATCCATACATTCGACTTGAAAAATTTCGAGTAAATCAAATTTTTCTGGTTTTGAACCGTGATGTTCATTTAATTCATCGGCTCCGTGAGTCACAAATTGTACAACAGAGCGCTGAAACTAAGAGGGTTCAATCTCCTATGTTTTCTTAAAGCCTCGCATCTTTCGCCAAGACGCTGCATCAAAAAGTTTCCACTTTATAAGGTATTTTAATCTAAAATGTGGCAGTGCCCCGTGCAGATATGCAACCCACTTTTTCGCGGGGTTCCCGCGATTTCACCGTGTGACCCCTCGACTCATATGAAAGAGGAGGTCAAAATCTATCGATTCCCGCAAAAAAAAAATCGCTTCGTGTACGTTTTGCACATTTTGCGTCACACCACACTGGGCCAAAAGGTGTGTATATATTTGTGAGTCTAGAAAGTCAAGGCCGGCGTGCATTGTCGAAAACGGAACTGCCTGGTGAAGCCTGTTACGGCAAGACACGGTCTAGCATATAAACCTACCTTTAAATTTGATGATGAAAGACTGTTGAAATAGATTCCTATCAAGGCAACACTGTTAAGAAAAGTCGTTATTTTACAACAGTAATCCGGACAATTAGTGTTGTAATTTTACAAAGAATAATTCGTAAAATAACTACAAGATTCATGAAATGAACAATTGTCATATTTTCGACAAACTTTACTCATAAATTTAGGAATAAATTCGTAATTTTACGATGAAATCTTAATGTTACTGACGAAAGATCGTAGTTTTACTGCTAAAATCGTTTTTTTACGACTATTCACGCGCATACTTGTTTTCTTACTAATCAAGCTCACTTTTATGAATAGTTGCCTGTTAAATCTGTACCACGAACTGCACTGTTTTTTTACAAAGTAAATTGTAAATTGACAAACTGTTCATCATTTTACAAACAACTTCTTAATTTTACAGGTGAAATTGTAAATTTACAAGTATGATTGTAAAAGCAAGTCTGAAAAATGCGTTTTCGTCCGTTGTTTCCTTCCTAATACAGGAAGAAAAAATGCCTGAAACGACCAAAATTTTAGGATTAAGTTTGTAAGTTTAAGAATAATTTTGTAAATTGACGAGAAAAAGATGGATGATCAGATCGTTTTTTAAATTTACGAGCAGTTCGTGGTACAGATTTAACAGACAACTAGTCGTAATTTCACAAAATAATCCCGAACAGTGCACAGACAATATTGAGAAAGTCAGTTTAGGGTAGGCTGATCTGAACCAGTTAGCGGGGACCAATTATTGTCAAATCCAGTGTTTCGTCACATAGAGACCAATGCCAAGGCTACCCAAGGCTTAATGAACCGACATAATTTATCTTACTCATGTAATCATTACTAAGAAGTATCAGTTATATTAACTTTGGTGAAGTTAAAGGAATCGTCTTATTAAATCCCATCACTAATCATATATATAGTTGGTTGTCTACACACAAATTGACTCACCGCTCAAAACCTGAGTCGTCTCTTTGAACCCAATATCAATTCAAACTCTATTAGGATTAAATATACACAACCATACATTGATTCTATTAATAAACACATGTTAGTGCTTTTGCACTCTTGTCAGCTTGCAGCATTGCAAAAGAATGCATTTCTCGAGTCCAAACTAAGTATGCCTGCCAATTTCAACACAAGTTATTTATGCATTTCCCTGATTTCCTCTAGTTTGAAAATTTTAAAAAGAGGATGACACTAAAATGAAATAAGAAGATGCACACAATACAAAAGGTCAAAATAAAAACATTCTTTTTACAATGCTTTGTCAAAGTGCACTGACCTGAAGATGATTCCCCTCTGACAGTGGAGGGGGGAGAGGGGAACGAAACACGTAAATCATTCTCAAATCCATTCTCCATATTTCGCTGTGTTGGTGTTCCAAAAGGGTTTTAAACATTCTAGAATGTCGAAAAACTAAGGCCGATCTCATTTCCAAACCCTTCTGCTCTTTATTTCGTTTTATTTGCTTATTTGCTATGTCCCGTATTTGAGAGCCGCGGAGCCGCAGGTATGAGAAATTGGTAAGCGGTGCCGCGCTGCCAACCTAACCACGCTAATGACCTGATTCAAAAATATGTTTTGAATATTTCAAACGATACTAAACAACGATTTGAAACAAACTCGTGTTGTTGGGGGGTGCTAAGGCGACGTTAAATACGAAATCTTGAAACTATAGCCACTGTAGTTGCTGAGAATCGTTGGTGAATACAAAGTCACAGACAGACGCACGACCAGTCACTTTTCAGCGCGCCCAAACACGGCAAGGGCTTCGCTATCGCTCAGCCAAAAACAGTGTGGCTACCATGAACACACTGTAAGGGGAAGTCGTATTTTTACAACTTTATTTTACATGAATACCATCGTAATTTTACAACATAAACTCGTAATTTTACGAACGTATTCGTTATTGGCTAAATACAAAGGGAAATTTCACAATTTTACACACATTTTTACGGTTAACCTTGTAAAATTACGAACTAAAGCTGTAATTTTACGAAGAATGTCGTCATTTGACGAACGAAAGTTGTCATATTACAAGCATTATCGTAATTTTACAAGTTTGATTGTAAATTAACGAGTAATTCCCTGTTAATTCTGTAGGACAAATTGTTCGTAAAATTACAAAAGTTTGTTAAATTACCACGAAAAATCGTAATTTAACAAGGAAACATCGTAAATTTACAAAGAAAGTCGTAAAATTTTCAAGGTACATTATTAGTTCTATTTTCACGTTTTTTCGTCGAGGCAAACCAAGACCAACCTGAAAATAATATGGTTGAAGATTTGAATTATAACGACTGTACTCATTAACTTACGAACAATTTGTCCTATAGAATTAACAGGGAATTGCCCGTTATTTTACAACAAAATCCCTAACAGTGCAGCTTCACCTCGTGAGTACTCAAGGATCAAAGCAACCCGACTAGGTCTATGCCGTTGCGCGACCCGCGTCCCGACGAATGTGTCCAATTCTTGAAATACCAGTGCAGGGAACTCCCAGGTAATTTTCTAAATAGATTAGTTAGGACCGACGAGAGATCGAGGGGTGAATCACTCAGTAGTAACTTAGTAGTAACTTAGAGTGAAAATAAGTTTAAAGCACACTATTTAAAAACTCATGAGAAGCTCTTTAAAAAAAAAAGTACGTGCTATGTTCCCTCAAATTACTATTCATCAGCGTGCTAAAAGTGTAACGAGCGCTTCGTCACGCTAAAGACCTGTTTCGGTGGCAAATTCCCGGTGGAGCCAACGCGAGCCAACGACACAATAAGTTCAGCAAACGGTTGCTAGCCCGTAATGGTAATGGTAATGTGGCTTAAGCGCCGTGGTGGTAGGCAACCCATCGGCCGGGCGCGCTTGACGGGGCGCATAATCTGACGGCGCTCCCAGTGTCTCTGCCTGACCGAATGATTCTTCCGTCCAGCCTCGTCCTGCTGGTGCTGACCTTGGCCGTGATGTTGTTCTGCCTGGACACTGTTTGTCCTACGGCAAATGACACTGAGTTTCCTATTGTGACCCCACACTTCACCCGTCGGACATTCTGTGGTCGACACTTGTAGGTGTCGGACAGTGTGTGGTCGACACTTCAAAGCGTCGGACACAATTGGTCGACACTTGCAAGCGTAGGACACAATTGGTCGACACTTGCAAGCGTAGGACAAACTGGTCTACGCTTTAAAGTGTCGACCTGTCCTACACTTGGATTTGCAGTGAGCGTGAGACCCCAGGATTGCTCCCCGAACGAGGAATCCATTGGTGGGGTCACACGTTCGGTCCGAGTCCTATTTAGCGACTCTGGAGCTCAAAACGCGTCTAGAGTTTTGTCCGCCTCCACCGGTCTTCTCGCCCACTGTGTGGCCTGGCGCGCTGCCGCCAGTGCCGCCGCCTCTGTCTCGTTCCCGCCGGCCGGCAGTCGCGGCCGACGGCCCCACAGGCGCGTACTCGAGTCGAGACAGCGTGTCGCAGGACCGAGGCTCAGCAGCATCATGCCAGACTCGCAAGATAACGCCCCGGGCCTTGAAGGTAAGTTTGTTGTCACACATTGTTTACACGCTGGTACAACTAAAGCGTAACTCTATGCCTGAGTCAAGCTTAAAGTTACGCTTGAATATATGTTATGCTTGAATTCAAGCAGAGACTAGAAATTCCCTCATGCATTTAGATGGGGGGAACATCCGTCGATGACCTTGTTACGCTTGTTTTCTAGCGTAAACTGATTTACGCTTGAAAGCAGAGGATAATACTACCTTTTAGTTTTACCACTGTAAGTCTTTGGATATCGAGAGATAAATGATTACGTGCGCACTTTAAAAGTCTCATGGTAAAGATATTCCATATCATGGTGGTGGTGGTGCAGCTGAATTCCTAACTTAGCTCTGAAAAATCACTGAAGATTGAGAAGTCCCTCACTGATAATTTTGCAGAACTTATTTGATGGTGTCGGATTGTTTGGAAAGATTTGACGGGCTTTGTGCCTTCTTGCAGGCGTTTCTGACGTAAGGTTGAGTGATTGTCACTTCCCAGCGTACACAGATTAGTTAGATAAGTGGAGGGCCCTGGTGCAGAATATTGGGATCCGTCCCAGAATTTATTTGGAATTAGGAAATCTTTACCATGACCGACACGGAAGCAAAGGCAAATTGTTCGTTCTCCATCAAACGTGTGCTGGAACCACTGTTTCAAGTAACTTGCTCATTGCACAAATTTCGACAATAAATGTGCTGTCATATTTCCAAAACAAACGTTTTTAACGACACGTTTCTGGCCAATATGGCGGTTCCTGGCTTTCGGTTTAGTTTTCCTACGAAACCCTGTCTTGAAATGTCAATTTAAGTTTGCAGCTTACAATGTTTTCGTCCGCTTGCCTTCTTGTTTCGGGACTGCCTCAACCATAACCTGCGAGCAGTAGTCCCACGCGTTTCATGCCGTGAGCCGGGCGGCCCCCCGCTCAGATGTACTGTACTACCAACTGGTACAGTAGGCTAGCGGTGGCACACACACATACACACACACACACAGCCCACGGACGCTGCGACCTTGGGCTGGCGTGTACGCGACCATCACTGGTATGGTGCGTCATGAACGTCTGGGCTCAAAGACCTGTGCGGAAAGCATGAGAGGGAGTGGGTCTGCCTAATGTGCCCGCACTCTCAGTCTCGTATTGACTTTCTATCTCTCTTGCAAAAAGAGTTTTGTGCAAACGTGAATTGCACTATTTTTTCTTTAGCTATGCACTATTTTGTTCATTGTATAATGTTTATAGTCCAATAAACCTGACTTTTTGTCATTTGCAACGTACTTTTCAATTTCTACATGATCTATCGACAATTTTATTTTCAAAAAGATCAAAATTGTGCATAGTTAAAGAGAAAATAGTACATTTTACGTTTGCTCTAAAAACGCTGTAAACAAGACAGAAAGAAGTCCATATAGGTCTGAGAGTGCGGAGCATTCCTTGCCAGTTGCACGGTAAAAAGAGTTCCTGGTTTTCCCAGGAACGTACTTGAAATCACCTATGTCTCTACCATGGGCTTCCTGGGAAAGCCTGGTACCGTTTTTACCGTGTGCCGTCGTTTGAGGGTTTGAAGGTGAACGACGAAAGCGACCGTCAGGATCATTACACAGGGCGAGGGCCGCAAATCGTTTCCGCCCCATGGTGCCAAAATAAGTAAAACGAAAGCGTATCGTTACCCTCTGTTTTCTAGTGTCAGTCCGTTAACGTCTTGATTCAATCGTAATGACTGCATCCACCCACATTCACCCTTCTTTGCAAGGGGTGAATCACCAGTGTACACATGTACATATGCCAATGACCCGTACTCCGTCCGTGTACTCACAATGCACTAACGAAAATGCGGATCAGCAAAAGAGGAAAGTGCGCAAATTAGCAGAGGTCGATAAAATATCAATGCCGTGTACTAAATGTTTACTAAATGTTCGAAGCGAGTCTGAGAGGGTGGGGGGGGGGGGGGGCGACTCATCTCATTATTGGGAGCGTGACACAAATCATTCAAGCACAAAAAAAGTTCGAAAATCCTCACTTCGCTCGTGGGATGAGTGCGAATCAAGGGGATCCGGCATCGTCTGCACACTACATTCTAAGGGACTTTTTGACCATAACTATGGCCATATTTGTACCGATTTGTACATACGAAAGTTATACCTATATACTACTTGTGTTCATAACTATGGATAATAAATGATCCAGGAAGCGGAAGAAGGGAATAACTTGACTTATCCCTAAATTGAGTTTTTATTTTATTATTGTGCCTTAAAATGGTTTCTATAATTACACCAAATTATTTGACTGAATTCCAAGCAGTTTAGGAGAAAATCCACATGGAAAAAGGGTATAACTCGACTTAACCCCTTTTACGGTCTAAATTTCATTCACTTAATAAATGGAGATAACTCAACGGAAGTCCACATGAGTCCGTTTGACAAATTGGCAAAAGGATATAACTCAACTTGTATTTTTATGAATCTAGTGTGAAAAGAATCAACTCAACTTAACCCCCCTAAATTTTAAATTTCAATTTGGAAAAAAGAGCTAAGTCCAAAAAATACACCAGAGTGACATACACTTTATGCAGACTATTGTTCCACTTGACTTGTCTCCAAATTCCTCTTTGTTTAGGAAATATAAGGTGGGCTGACTCTGTTTTCCATTTCAACGGAAAGTGATAAGTCGCAGAAATCCTCTACGGAGTGACCTTACACTTTTGTTTTTTTTTCCAAAATTTTACCAATGCTTTTTAAAATTATTAACATCTGCTACATTCATTTGTTTTGTTTTAGTTTACCCCGCTAACAGTTTTTGGTTTCTCCTGGAAAATGGCCAAAATTGAGTTATCCCCTTCTTCCGCTTCCTGGATCAATTTAGGCAGCTTGTGTACACTGAGAAAAGCTTACAAACTATTTCAGGCCTAACAAAGCAAAGCAGTTTGTTAGAACAAAGTATTTTCAGCATACAAGCTTACAAGGAAAATACTTAATTACGAACTATATCTTCTTACAAGGTAGGTTTACGCCAGACCACGTCTTGTCGTAACAGGCTGCTTCGCGATGTCTCGCGGCCTGTTCCTCCAATCCACGCCTGGCGTACCTACCCTGGCCTGCGGCGCTAGCCTGCCTTCGGCAGACAATGCTTGTCCATCATCAGTTCTTTCTAATTTGTTGCATGCTGGGGGGCTCCGCCCCCCAGACCCCCCTTTCATCAAGACAGGAGAGATCTACCTACAGAAAACTCGATTTTTAGGCATTATTAAGGTGTTTTTCGGCTATAAAAACTGAACTAGTTGAGCTAGGATAGTGAAATTTCGCGTGTGCCGAGCCAAGAACATATCTGATAGGCCTGCAAAATCTCAGCCAGGTCGGCCGAGCCGTTCAGGAAGAGTAGTGTACACAGACAGACAGACAGACAGAAAAAGTTTTTCAACCCCACTGGAGTAACAGGCTTCGCTATCGCTCAGCCAATAACAAAGTAAACTACAAGTTTGCACGTATGTATGCTCAAAATACTTCGTAAGGTTTCAAGGGCGTATGTACACATATGGCCATAGTTATGGACAATGCCAGTTCACAAACATTTAGTGTGTGTGGCCCGACGCAACGAGTGGGTAACCCCTTGATGGTGGCGTGGCATCGTTGCAGGCCGCTGCCCCATCGCCGCACTCCCAGACGAGCTGCTGGTGGACGTGTTCTCGCGGGTGGCCGACGGCGGGGCCCTGCTGGACACGCTGCCGCTGTTGTGCAAACGCTGGCGCCGACTGTGCCGCGACTCCAAGGCGTGGCGCGACGTGGAGGTGAGTAATCAAAGAGACACCTGCCCTCGATTGAGGAATGGAAAATAAGTATTTTGAGCATACATATAACAAACTAAAATACTTTGTTATACGAAGAAATAGTTCGTAAATTACGAAGTATTTTGTTTGTTAGCTTACGTATGCTCAAAATACATTGTTATACAAACTACTTTTCTTTCTAAGGCCCAAAATAGTTTGTAAGGTGTTCTCAGTGTGCGTTATCACTGTGTTCCGTATTCGCAGGTGCGCTTCGAGGCGCGGTACGAACACGGCGTCCCGGTGGTCACCTCGGAGCCGACAGTGGCTGCCAGAATAGTGCTGCACGCGCCGTCGCTCCGCAGCCTGGATCTGGAGGTTGGATTTGTAGTGAATAGTTCGTCATACGAAGTAGTACTTTGTTAGCAAGCTTATGCTCTAAATACTTTGTCCTAAGAGGCTACTTTTGTAAAGTCCAAAATAGTTCGAAATGCTTTCAGAATGTAGCTCTAAGCCCTTTGTCCCCCTCAGGGCCCCGACCGCGCCGTGCTCCTGGCCCTGCGCCGCAGCAAGGCCGTGGTGCGGCGGCTGTGCGTCAAGACGGCCTTCTGGAAGGCGGGGGACGACGGCCTGTGCCCCGAGGTGCTGGACGTGCTCTGGCGCAGCCGGCACTGCGCGCGCCGCGTGCAGCTGTGGCTGGACGACGAGCGAGCGCAACGGGATAGCCAGGGCCGCCCCGCGCTTGACATCCTCGGCGACCTGGAACACCTCGAGGAGCTGCGGCTGGAAGTCGCCGAGCGGCTGCCCTACACTGCGGGCAAGCTGGCGGCGGGCATGCAAAGGTGCGCGCCGCACAGTGGGCCGGAAGACCGGTGCGGTCAGAATCCCGGACGCGTTTTGAGCTCCAGTGTCGCTAAATGGGACTCGAACCGAACGTGTGACCCCACCGAGGGCAAACAACGACGTCAAAATTTGTACACCGTTACTTTAAATTCGCGTTATTTCACGTTATTTCATTGTTATTTCCACGTTATTTCGCGTTATTTCACGTTATTTCAAGGAAAATGTACACCAACATTCAAGTTGTTTGCCCCATCAATGGACTGCTTTCCGAACGAGAATGCGTTGGAGGGTCACACGTCAGGTTTCATTCCTGTTCCGAGACTCTGGAGCTTAAAACGCGTCTAGAATTTGGGCCGGCTCCACCAATCTTCTGGACCACCATGCGCCGCTGAAATTCACACGCCTAAAACCTTACGACGTGTTTCGGGCATACATAGTAAAAACTAATTTACATTGTTATACGAAAGAAATAGTTCGGAAACTACGAAGTATTTTCTTTGTAAGCTTATGTATGTTCAAAATACTTTGTTATAACAAGGCACTTTTCTATGAAAGGCCTAAAATAGTTTCTAAGGTTTTCTAGGGCACTCTCAAAGTCTTATGGTGCAGTTTATCCATATTATGGTGGTGCAGCTGACTTGGAAACTTACAGTTCAAAATTCATTGTACCTTACAGATATTTTGTCGAATTTCTTTTGTAATATGGAGAAAATCTCCACCATAATATGTTGGTGCAGCCTTTCACCACTGCAAATGCAAAGGCGATACTTACGTACATATTTTGGCGATACCAAAGTACTGTATTGCCGTCAGAACGGCGATACGCAAAAGTATCGCCAAGATTTGGCGATACCTCGGAGTATTGCCACGATTTGGCAATAATCGTTGAACAAATCAAGGGGACAAGTTCTTAGTTAAATGCCGTAGTTTCGGCAATACCCAAAAGTATCGCCAAATTTTGCGATACTTCTGAGTATCGCCGTTCTGACGGCAATACTTTTCCGTAAGGCCGTTAATTGGCGATAGTTAATTGTATCACCAAAATATGTACGTAAGTATCGCCTTTGCATTTGCAGTGACCGTAAGACATTTAGAGTGTGCACACGCAAAACTCGCTTTCAGTTTTCTTATTGACGTTCGTGCACATTAATGAGCATACAGACATTACTATGTCTTGATGCATCTGTTAAGCTTAAACGGAATTCCACCAATAGTCGACCTTACGGCGATAAAATAAAATAACACTTGCACCTGCAATTACGTCGCCCCGAATTCTCGGCATTTCCAGCCAAATTTGTACATCAAACGTTTAAAACTCACTGATATTCATTGAAAGTGATTGAAATTGATCGAAAGTCTTCTCAAAATTCAGTTGTTTTCGCCCCAAATTAACCGAAATTTGACTGAAATTCGTTGGATTTGTACACCGTGATTCACCGTGATTTCCCCCTGGTTCACTGTCGGCAGGCTGCGCGAGGTGTTCGTCTCGCACGTGCGCTTCACGGACGCGTACAGCAGCGACCGCTTCGCGCCGCCCGAGGCCCTCGTCGAGGACTTGCTCCGCGGCGCGGCCGCCTCGCTGCGCAGCGCGTCGCTGTACTGGAACGAGCCGCTCGGGGAGGCGCAGCGGGCCGCGCTGCAGCAGTGCGCCGCCCTGGAGTCGCTCATGGCGCACCAGGCCGTGCTGCCCGCGCTGCGGCACTGGCCGCGACTCCACACACTCAACGTAAGTGGGCGTGGGGCAACCACTCGAGAAATCATGTGTCGCCCGGAGACCCAGAAATCTCTGGAAATCCGAAATCGTTCCCCAAAAAAGCCCCAAAACAAGCAGATTTATGGCAAAAAAAAAAATGGCCGAAATCCGACGAAATCTCTTTTCTTAAGAAATCTTGTGTCCCCAAACATCGTACGTGATTGCCCCCTCGTAAGTAGGTCCCCTTCACAGTGGGCCAGAAGACCGGTGGGGAGGCGGCCAAAATTCCAGACGCCTTTGTAGCTCCAGAGTCGCAGAATGGGACTCGGACCGAACGTGTGACCTCACCAATCGATTGCTGCCCGAACGAGGACTCTGACTGTGAACGTCAGTGGGTCAGAGTGACCCGAGGGGGCCGCCACTCCCGTTATCCTGTGTATAAATTGGCTGGTAATCTCCGGTAACCTATGCCGTAATCACGAAAACCTCGGCAAAATTCTGTCGGTTTGCTACGTTTTGGAGTCATTTCTGAACGTTTTTGAACCAATTTTCCAAAATTTTACGCGTAATCCCCAGTAAATTTCCCGTTATCCCGTAATCTTGTTTAAGCCAGAAACCAGAGTGGTGGCCCCCCCGGGATGACTATCATGGAAGCTAAATAAGCATGAAAAGTGATAAATCTCACCCTACACCCCTCACCCCTTCAATGCGCCCAAACTTCAATATGGTCAACAAACAAAATGTCTTGAGAAAATGAGAGTGCGTGCTTCCCCCAGGTCCAGCTGTACCCGGCGGGCGTGGAGCAGGTGGGGGGCTGCGTCCGCGACGCCCTGCGGCAGTGCGAGCCCCACGCCCCACTGCGCCACGTCACCCTGGGCGTCAACTGCTACATCGACGACGACATGTGGGAGGAGTCTTCGGACGAGTGTCAAGGTCACGTGGAGGCCTTCGGGAAGCTCCGACCGGAAGTGAAAGTGGAGCTGGACGGATGGTACTGAATGTCTTAGCAATGAACGGGACCGCAGCTATTTTTTGCATGAAATAAATATCACAGAAAGGTGTAAAGGTTGTGTTGAACTCCTATTCATTTACGCACTCCCCACCTTCACTGTTAAAAAATGGTCGTACAGAAACAATCAGATGAGTGAAAATTTAGTCGTTTCAAAACATAGAATTTCATCATGGACCAAAGCGAAACAAATGTCGTTGAGTCTAGTAAGCGAAATTTTGTCGCTGAAGAACAAAATTCTTGTTATCACTCTTTACGATACAATTTGTGTGGAAACAACATCTTTTGCCATTATCTGCGCAATTAAAGTATATTATGAATAATCATCTATTTTGTTCTTCTAAGTCATATGGAAATTACAATATTGTCCAAAAAAAACCATGCAAAATAAATTTAGCGACAAAAGTACTCTCTGAATATTTTCGCAGACATTACAAAATTTCTTTTGGACTTTCAATACTTGTCGTTGATGTATTATTGTTGGTGCGTTATTACAAGTTAGACGTTGTGAAATTATCCCTTAGTTCCAATAGGACTACGGTTTAACAAGCTATTCGTTCCACAACAAATCTTGTCGCTAAAAAAGTTAGCGATAAATGTGTCGCTAAGTTACGACAAAATTTTTATCAGTGTTCCTCACTTGACTGCTGCAAAGCTGCCCAAACACTCCTAATTTTCTACTGAGAAATGCTGTGCACTCAAAGCTACATCTATACTTTACGATGCAAATCTACCACACAGTGCAGAGATATTAGTTAAGGGGAGGTTCTGGTGAAAATCTTGCCATTTTCAAAATGGATCCCAGTGTCATAATTTGTTCGGAATATACAATCTTTTTTCGAGGAGACTAAAATTTGATTTTTGAGGCAATCCAGGCTCTGAACCCAGTCGAAGAGTCTTTTGAGCATATTTAGGCTGTATCTTAAAAATCTCCTTGCGCATACTATTTTTCGTAAAGGTTGACCTTGACTTTTCACTTCTTCGATTCATTTTCCAAAAATGCCGGCATGCATAGCTCAAAATCTCCATTATATTTTTAACTGTAAGCTTTTAACGGAAAAGTCCCTAAAATTTGTCTATTTTGTACATTTTGATCAATTATAGTGAAATGATTGGTTAAAAGCTTGCGGATGAATATGTAGTTTACGGTTTGAGTTGTGCATGCCGGGATCTTTAAAATGAATCGAAGAAGTGAAAGTCAAGGCCACCTTTTACGACAAAATAGTATGCGCAGGAAGATTTTGAAGTTATAGCCTAAAAGGAAAAAGGCTCTGCGACTGGCTTCAGGGCATAAAATGTGAGTCCCCAATGAAATTTTTTATAATTACTTGGTAAGACATCAAATTCTTAACTAATTTTCACAGTGGGACCTATTTAGGAGAAAATAGCATTTTCACCAGAACCTCCCCTTATACAGCATGAAGAAACTGGTCACAAGTTACCGAGAACTCAGGTACCTTCGTTGCGCTGTTTACCAAGCTTTAAGCATTTTCTTTGAAAGCTTTGGAAGCTCAAAACACTTTGTTAAAACAAGCTGCTTTCCTTTGTAAGTTTTACTCAGCGAGCTCGTTAGCAGATACCATCACCGGCTCTCAACCTTCCCTGACCCATAATTTGCGACTGTATAAGGCAACCCTACAGTAGTATCTTGTGCATAAGCTTTGCGCAATATTGTACATGCGTTTTAAAATAAACGAATTTGTGTGTAACTAACGTCGAAAGTGTACGTCGTTGCGCACGACTTGGTGCACTTCACGCATATGCTCTGTGCGCGGAAGTTATACACCAAAAACCTCATGATACCGTAATTTAGTGTGCACGAAAGGAAGCAACCCAATTTTCCAAAGTCGTCAAATACTTGTGGTACAAAAGAATCTCCACTTTTCTCGCAGTGCCAGGGGGCTTTTACCTGGGGCAGACCAGTACGTCAGAAACCTCTTGTAATTGTTTTAACGACAGCTTTGGGGCCACTGTGCTTGACCTGCGGGGACACGCAACGCATTTAGCGTTCACAAGCCAGGCATGCGACGCGACATACAGTTGACGCTCTGCAGCATTGCGCTCAACATGCGGCTGGCCTGTTGGAGCGTGTGGGTGCTCTCGCTGTGTCATCTCCCCAGGATAAACATGGGACAAAGAGCATTTGCGGTGAGCCTATTTGTAAATATGAGGAAGCATTATGGATCAGCATCTTAAAATACTGCGGCTGCATACCAAATTTGGCAAAGAATGGACTACGCAAAGTTCTCCGACAGACGGACTCACGCACATGGAGCACTCCCATTTCAGGAACGTGACATCACGTCAAAATGAATGTGACAAAATGGCACGTTCCTTGGAGAATTAAGTCACATTCGTATGGACGTGAATCAGCCATAAATTAGCATATTCACGATGACATGACATGAATGTGACACAATGCTCGAAGGGACGTGACATGATGTTATTCGTTCCAAAGTGATGTTCATCCTGGAATGAGAGTGAGCATGGATCCAACTGTTGATGCTAGTCCTCCAGTTCCAGTACCCTGTCAATGCTGAGGTGGCCCTTAACTAGAATTTTGAAAAAAAAAAAATTGTGACTCAAGAAACATGAAGCGCGAGGGTCGTGTACGGGTTATTATATTTTGACGTAGAGTTCATTTCTGAGCAGAATTGGACGATCAAAAAAACTTCACTTTTTTTGAGGGCCAACCTGGGGCCATGTCATGCTTGATGCAGGAGCATTGTTAAAATCAAAGTGTTACACTCTCCAAAAGCCGGCGCATCGAAAGGGCGTCTCAGTCTATTTAACTGCACGTCAATGTCAAATGGTTTTAAGAGACGCGCCCAGGCTAAATTAAACCTTCGCCACATTTTCTGTAACTAATTTTTCATCCATATTTTCCTCAGAGTTCATACCCGCGAAATGGAAACAAATAAGCCTTTATTTGGCCTTTACTTGGTATTTATCTGACCTTCATATGGGCGTTTCATTTTACTCATTCTTATAAGGTTTTAATAAGTTACATGGGATGTATTAAGGGGAGGTTCTGGTGAAAATGCTATTTTCTCCTAAATAGGTCCCACTGTGAAAATTTGTTAAAAATTTGATGTCTTATCAAGTATTTATTAAAATTTTTCATTGGGGAGGCACATTCTATGCTTTGAACCCAATCGCAGAGCCATTTTCTCCCATTTAGGCTATAACTTTAAAAATCTTCTTGCGCATACTATTTTGTCGTAAAAGGTTGGCTTAGACACTTTTCACTTCTTCGATTCATTTTTTAAAAATGCCGGCATGCACACCTCAAAATGTCAATTGCATTTTTATTCGCAAGCTTTCTAACCAAGCATTTCACTATAATTGATCAAAATTGTACAAAATAGACAAATTTCAGGGACTTTTCAGCTTAAAAAGTTAAAAATTAATAATATGATGGAAGTTTTGAGCTATGCATGCCGGAATCTTTTGAAAATGAATCGAAGAAGTGAAAAATGTCAAGGTCAACCTTTTACGACAAAATAGTATGCGCATGGAGATTTTTTAAGATACAGCCAAAATAGGCTCAAAAAGACTCTTCGACTGGGTTTACAGCCTGGCATGTGCCTTCAAAAGTCAAATTTTAGTCTCCTCAATGAAAAATTTTATCTTCCGAACAAATTATGACTGTGGGATCCATTTGGAAAATGGCAAGATTTTCACCAGAACCTCCCCTTAAAACCTTATAAGAATGAGTAAAGTGAAACGCCCATATAAAGGTCAAATAAATACCAAATGAAGGCAAAATAGAGGTTTGTTTGTTTCCATTTCGCGGGAGCAACATATTTTCCGAACTGACACCTCGCTAGTTCAATTACGTGGCATGCAGTTAGCTGCAGGCAGAAGCCACATTATGAAGGCCGGCGGGCAAATCCGGACACGCTGGTTAAGAGAGGAAACCCGCCAAGCTCGTAAATAAAGTGAACACGATACACGATAGGCTTCCCAAAGTACCAAGAAACAAAAAAAATGTATGGATAACTTTCAAAGCAGGGATCGTATGGTATAATACCTGATTTCCGTGGTTTATATTCAATTACATTATCTTTGAGAAAGTTAAATTCTACTAAGAACACAAGCGAAGAACCTCCTTTAATTCGGAAATCTTTGATTGGAAAATATGGGAGTTATTTCTTAGGAAACAAGATATTTTAAAAAGTGCTCCGCCACTGAAATTCAAAGGGTGAGACATCTGACCGATTATCGGTGATACAAGAAGTATGACCGAAAAACGGTCATACTTAAATCAGGGGGCGGCAACGGCCTAGGAAGCGCGTGAAGCCATGCGCGAGCAAGGTGCAGAGGTTAATTATTTTGCTTCGATTGTTGGCTGAGCGATAGCGAAGCCTGTTACTCCAGTGGGGTTGAAAAGTTTTGTCTGTCTGTCTGTCTGTCGGTCTGTCTGTCTGTCGGTCTGTCTGTCCGCACTACTCCTCCTGAACGGCTCGGCCGATCTCGGTGAGATTTTGCACACTTCTTAGGTATGTTCTTGGCTCGGCACACGCGAAATTTCACCATCCTAGCTCAACTGGTTCAGTTTTTATAGGCGAAAAACACCTTAAAAACGGCGAAAACTAGAGATTTCTGCAGATAGACCACTTCTGTCTTGGAGAAAGGGGGGCCTGGGGAGCGGAGCCACCCAGCCTCGACAAGTTAAAAAGTGACAAGGGTCAAGATCGTGTTATCTGTAGATAAAACAATTCTATTTACAATGTAGGGGGGTCTGGGGGGCGGAGCCCCCCAGCATTCAACAAGTTAAAAAATAACCGACAACGGACAAGCCATTGCCTGCCGCAGGCAGGCTAGCGCCGCAGGCCAAGGTAGGTACGCCAGGCGTGGATTGGAGGAACAGGCAGCGAGACATCGCGAAGCCTGTTACGACAAGACGCGGTCTGGCGTAAACCTACCTTGTAACATCTAGCCCGCTGATTGCAAAACGCTTTGCACAGATCAAAAGAGCACAAAATTTAGGGTGCATTAGGCATAGTTGACTGCCCGATACTTCCAATTCAACCGAACACAAGGGCGGCATCAT